ATGTTTGTTATGTTCTGAATGTAACAACTAGGAAAAAATGGTCTGCCTAAGTCAATATTTCAGCGAAAGAGAGTCAGATTAGAGCGGTATAATATTTACCTAATTAACAGCATCGCCTCAGACAAAAAGCATTAAGGTATGTTGTACATAATAGTTCATCATTGGATAAGACAATCGCATCGAAATTTTGAAAAGCTTATATCAAGTTAATTAGCCATTCACGGAGGAAAATGAATACTAAGTAGATGACCGTTCGTGGCCGTGAAAAATTGTTTCGCTTGTCAAGGAAAATTTGGTGATTGAAAGTGCCTACATGTACAACTGAAAAAAAAATATAGCTCCCCCAACTGAAATGGCTTCCTAAGGGCCAGCCGTTCTTGCGTAAAAATACAGTGGACCTTCAGATATCCGGAAGCCAGATATCCGGATGTATCCGAACGATTTTTCATCGGGACGAAAGTTTTATTAACTGGTAATTCCGGTATCCGGACGCTTCACATACCCGGGCAAATTGACTTGGAATCAAAGCATCCGGATAAATGAGGCTCCACTAAGTATACATTCAGTTTCAGTTTCAAATAGATTTCGTCAAAATTTTAATATGGAAATGTAATTTCGCACAGAAAAGTCAAGACCGTTTAGTGTAAATATAATAAAAAGAGACAAGAACAGCACAATTGCCATCTTTTTTATTAAATTATACAATATTATACATAGATATTTTTTTGAGATCATAGAAGCGGCCCTTGTAAGAAATATACAAATGTTGTGTTTATGTGAAACAGGGTACAGGTGCCACAAAATATATTTTAAAAAAAGGTAAATGAGCAGAAATATTTGTAACCGATTTTTATTGTGATTTAATTTTAAAAAAAAATAAGTTAAAAGACGGTTTAAATTTGAGGCATAAATTCAAAGAAAGTTTCAATTTTAGGTATACGGTATATAAATAATTCATTTGTCCTTTATTTGCCAATTTACTACCACGTTTCTCTACTCCATAACTAAGACAGGCGACGAAAATGAATTGTATACACAGTGGAAACCTAGAGCTTTAAACATTTTAATTTTTAAATAAAATGTTCAAAAACGTAAAAAAAAAATTAAAATCCGCTTGCATGGAAGAAGGGAACTTATATATATTTTTTCATGAATGTTTATAAAGCAATAAACGTTTTTAAAAACAAGTTTACATATCCAAGCGTATCTGCATTTATTTCTCAATTGAATTTTTAGTGATACAGAAAATTCATGGTGTTTTTTTTTTTTATTATAGTAACAGAAGAAAGTTACTTGCGTGTGTGATTGTGAGTGAATGCTGTCTCACAAGTTTTTTTTATTATCGGGATCGATGTTCTTTTTGCGAGGGGTGCCCCTATTTGCTCGTGGTGTCCTTCTGCATGGGATTATATATCTATGTATATATTTCTTTTAATCTTTAAGTGTTACAAATTCTTTATATATTTTATAAATTGAATTAGATTATTTGATATAAAAAGAATGATTTTTATGGATTTAAACAAATATTATTTCCCTACTGATTATGTTATAAACCGTTCCTACATTCTGTCTGGACCCCCCTCCCCCTCCCTTTTACGAATTACTAGATCTGCTCTAAAATTAGCATGGAAATAGTAATAACATACGAAATCCCTCAGGAATAGTTAAATACTAGTCGATTGGAGGAAAAAAATAAATACTTCCTCATATTTTAAATGCTCAAAACGATTGAGGTTATTTAAATAACACGTGATTTTAAGATTTTTTGAAAATTGAATAAGACGCAGGCGACGTCATTACGTTTTCAGTGAGTAATGTCAAAGTTATTTTTGAAGCGCCTCACTAAAATGCTCATAAAATATCGAAAAAGTGAGATATTTTCAAAATTTATGTATATTTGCATTCAGAAAGAGTCCGGCTATCAAAATTTACCAGAAAGTCAATATGTGAAAATTTGACCTTAAGGGCCCTTTTCTCGTGACGGCAGTCATTTATTAATTTCTTTTTCCCTTTAAAATTCATTGCAGGGCTTAACCTTTTGTAAGTATTGATATCTCCAATTCTTAATTTTAAGTTTTATTTTGTTTTCGAATTTTACTGATTCTGAAGATCTTTTTGATAGTACTAAGCAAGATAATGCCATCAGGCGACTCAAACAATAAAAGACTTACGTTAACATTTCGTGCATTGTCTTGAAATGGTGTAGAAGTCTAAATTTCCGAGAAAAATGCACCAAAGTGTGTGTCAAAAGAAGACCTTTGCTGCCTGCAACCTTTCTCTTTTAGATTCTTGCTTGACGTCATGGCGTCAGGCACAACTAAGGATCAATATTTCCTAGGTGCGAAGCTAAGAGGTCACAGTTAGCCAGCAAAATTTTGTGCATGCTGATTATCATCGGATTTTGTTACCTGCGTTTCAACAACAATAGTAGAAGAAAAATAACCATATTACTGATACAATATCATTTGATGCATTTATTTCCGTTAATTTTTTGCATGCAGCTATTTATTTCATGCGAGTTCCTAAAGGGACATGTCCGCTTGACCTTTTTGCTGCGTTTCTATACTACTGCATTAGTCCATTTGTCTTCTAGGTAAGGGGTGACACAATCATTTCGCGCCAAAAGGTCACATGTAAGTTTTTGCGCCCTTTTCCTGGACTATTCTATTGAATGGAAATGAAAAGTGCATGAATTATATAAAGTGCGCTTTTTCTTTTCTTTCTTTCTTTTTTTTTTTTTTTTTTTTTTTTTGGCGAAATCTTAATCGAGCTTTGGAAAACATTTGGGTGATTTTGTGAAGTGAGAAGTTGCATCATTTAAAGTAATAAAAACGAAACGAACAAAATCTTCTTAAGAGGATGAACTGGCCAAATATACATCTTATCAACCCCCCCCCCCCCTACAGAGGTTTCCTTCTACAAAAACAGAATATAGACTTAGGAAAATGCCTCCTCTTATTTCAGGATTGAGGGAGTTTATTAATTTTTTTCTCTTACAGATACTTATAATGTGGAAACCCCCCTCTCCCATCTCTGGAAAAAACTAGTCTTCCTGAATCCGCGCCTGTCGCCATTCATATATCACCGTTAAGTTTGTTTGGTAATTATGCATAAAGGCCTTTATTTATCCCATGTTTCCACCAATCGTTGATGCTCTGGCATACCCAAAAAACTAGTAAACATATTCCCAGTTTCTTATAGATATCATATTTTTAGCTGTCTTCCTCATAGCCTATGCTGTATGCAGTTGAATCTAATTTGTGTAACCTTTACATACATAGCCAAGACTTTCCAGCATAAATCAATTACATTACTTTATTTCCCTTATTGATTTCATCCTCTGCAACCATTTTTAGACTCGCGGAGTGAGGTGTTCATCTTTACGTCGCGGGTTCGAATCCACAGCGAAACGTGGAGATCGATCCTTCGGATGAGACCGATAGATTCTATAGATATTGATCATGATGGCATTAGTCAGGCAAGCTTTTTGAAAAGCTGTTACTTGTAGCAGATATACTTTTACCCAGTCCACAGCCTGAGTAGTGTGGCGGTAAACCGCGTACCCAATCAATTTGTGTCTAACGTATTATAACTTGATAGAAAAAAATCTCTCTTTCCGTCTGGCATATCCGTAGTTATTTCTAGATTAATAGTTAACTTAACTGATTGAAACAATGATTAACCTGGTTGTAAATTTGGGAGAAAACGAGTGTTTATTAGTAATTTAACTGAAAAGGTTAACAATAAATAGTTTTAGGTTCTCTAGAAGTCATTAATGAACGTGATTTCAAAACATCCTTCTTCAAGCTCTTGGCTTTAACTAGGAAAGTTAGCGAAAACATGAATATTAATATCAATGTCTTATAGAGCCACACAATTAGGCATGATTGATATTTACCTTATTATGTATCAAAGAATAAAAAAGGAAGTTAATTACTTTTACTTGATATTCCATGGAATAATATTTCTTAGGGAGATATGACAAGAAAGATAACTGAATTTATCTCCAGTAATGCATGCTTTGTTTTAATTTATTTGCTGTGTGGAGACACAATCCGATCGCTCTTATTTTTATCTCCATTTTCTGCTAGAATTGTCATGAATTCAGAAAAAAAAAATATGTCCAGATGAGGAGCCAGTGCGTTGGCCTTTAAATGTGAGCTCACATCTGAGGCACAATCGGTAACTTTATCAAATTTTTTCCCCAACACAAAACAATTGAAACCGTGGATTGCAGAGAGGCATGAACCTCAGATTTTATGTCTCTGTAGAACCTACACATGCAATAATTACAGATTAAAGCAGATACAGTGTTCAGGTGATTACGAATAATTACAACTTTTAAATGTAATGTCGATAAATAGTATCCTACGGGGGAACCATTGAGGTTTCTTCTGATATGATCGGCACTGACATCCATTTAATAATCATAATGATATCTTTAATGTTAATATTAAGGAAATAAATAAACACATATAATGCTTGTTCAATGTATAAGAGAGGCATGTCTAAATCTATGACGTCTGTTACCTGGGTATATAATAACTATCCTTTCTACGTGATTTTTACTTTCTTTTGATAGTTGAAGACAGATATTAAATGCCATAAGATGAATAAAAGCAAAATATTTCCGTAACATACATGTTTAATCAACATCATTAATTTTATCAATAGTGTTTTGAAAAGGATTGTAAAGGAAAGTATGACACAATAAAGGAATGTTCAACCTAACCGATTTATTTTTCAAAACAGCACATATTAAATAAAAGTATCAGTGCCATACACAAGCAAATTTAACGAAATGGAAAATATTTGGTCAATACTGCTGTCAAGATGGCAAGTGGCCGTACTTTCAGACTTATAAAAATAAAGTTTAATTTGCGAATTTAAGTATTTTGAAGATTTAATTATTGAAATATATTAGTATCATTAATAATAAATATTAGTTCTGAATATTAAAATATATGAAATCAAGAGGAACAAAACAAAATGATTAGAACTTTATTATCATTAATATATTCTTTATTGGTAACCATGAAAAAGTATTGAATAAATATCACAAAATTAATGTATTTTTTTCAAACTAAAAACATCAAATTACATAGAAATCTAATGGCTTCTAGCATATCTAGCAGAGCTATCAGAGTAAACAAAGCACAAAATCCCAATCAATATCAAAAATCGAACTCGGGAGTTTTGGGATAAGGTTCAATCTCGGTCTTAAATATGTTCATTTTTCGCGGACTCTCAAAAACAGGAACATGTCTGGGATTCGGGTTCTTAGCTGCAAACCTTTTCTTCATTTCCACCACACTCATTGTGGACAGCGGAATCCTGCTGCTCCCAATATACTGGGCAACAATGCCTTCATTTTCTTCTACCGGATATGCTTTTTCGCGCAGGCGCTCTCTGATTTCCTCCGAGTCTTGGGCTATGGGAATTAAAGCGGCCTGTATCGTCCTCTTCTCTTTTTTCTCCGTCTCTAACATCTTTTCAAGCTCTTCACACTGATCCTGTACGTCATTCGTGAAGTGGATGATGTTTGTCTTGACCTCCAGTTCCACCTGCATGTCATTGTGTACGATGGTTTTATGGTAGTTCAGAGTCCCCAGCTGTCTCTCCATTGCAAAAAGCTGCAGCTTGTTCCTCTCCAACATCGTCTGCAGGGCTTTGGCCTCCCCTGTCTTCTTTTCTTTGATCATGTTGTTTAACTTTGTCGTTAACTCTTCTTTCTCGTTTTCCAGCTTCTGAATGTAATCTTTCAAGTCTCTTTCCCGATTCTCATAGCCATGTAGTGTCATTTCTAATTCGTTAGTTCTCTCCTCCCGTTTTAAGAGCTTTTGTAGTTCGTTTGTTTCTTTTTCTAGTTTTCTCTCATGTTTCTGGATGTCTGTAGAAAGCATCTTCAACCTCCTGGATAATTGATCTTCCAGGGACACAAGTTTGGCAAGCCTTTCTTTTAGATCTTTTGTTTTCTTGTCGTCAATTTCCAACCACTTTCTGGCTAGCCATGCACAGATTTGGAATTTAACAAGAATATCAGGAATCAATCGCATAAGATAATAAGTACGAGAGTTCTTAACTTTAAGGTGGTTCACTACCCTTTCGCTATCCTGACTGAAGAGAGCCTGATTAATGGCGTCTTCGTTATCAATGAGATAGTCAAGCTGCTCTTTAATTAATGCTAGCCTTTGAGCCGTTTTCTCCAGCTCCGTCGTGTCGTATAAATTCTTCACATCTCGTAGCTCTCGTCCTAACAGTTGGAGAGCAGCTTTCGAGATCATGTGTTTTCGAGCACTCTGAATATCGCCATCTCCCGAAGCTTGGCTTTCAGAATCCGAAAATCGGAGAGAGCTCCAACCGGATATACCCGTGATGCCACTGTCAAAAGAGCGATGGGAGGCGACACTGAGATTGGACATCGACATGGCGGAGTCAGTCGACCGTTCTCGATCCGGCCCTCCGTGAGAAATATTATAAAAGTACTTAAACAAAGGATTAAAAATACGACTGGCAAAATTGTTCCTTAGTTCTCGTAAATACGACAGATTTTTGAAAAACCAGTTGAAATATTCCATAACGTCATCATTTTCTGTGCCCATGTCCTCTGAAAGAGGAAGTCGTTTGTTCCTCTTGCGCATGCGTAGTTTACGAATTTCTTGATTGATGGCTTGTCGAATTCCTCCTATGGTGTAAATGTCCTGGGATCCTTTGCATCTTCTGGCAAGTTCACGGAACATTTTCAGCATCATGTCCACGTTAAAGTTGTCGTAGGAGGTGTACACTTTCTCCTCGAACGCCTTAATCTGTTGATGTAACAAGTGACTTCTGTATTTTTCATCCAGTGTGACCAAGCGCACCTATAAATAGATTTAAAAAAGGAACAATAATGACGTCATTCAAAACAAAAACCTAGAATGGTATATGGGAGACTATCTTAGGCAGATATGTATTAAAATTAATTTAGAAAGTAATGGCATAAACTTAATTTAACAATTTCTAAACTGAACACAATTTGCTTTAAAGTGGGGAGATTAAAATGCGTCTATGAAAGTTTTATTTCCGTTCTTTGAATAGAAATACCTGTAATTTTTCTCCTGCATATTGACTGTGGGCATGAGGGTCAAACGGGTTGGTTCCAGAGGCCCTTAAAAAGGAACAATTGATAATTAATTAATCAATTATTTACAAGATTCACGTGTGAGTGGTCAATGTATCATCACTTCAATGATAACTTATGACAAATTCAATAAAGACTAAAACCGCGGCAGATGATTAATTCATATTCCCGCGGTTAAAACTTTAAAAGTCTGTGTAGAATGCAGTCAAATTGTAATTTGATATTTTAACAAAACATAACGATATACCGTTATTTCAAATTAAAGCTTTCACTTAAAGTCCAAAGCAAAAGCAAATGGATGTTTAAAGCATTTACATGTTTGAACTCTAAAGGAAGGTCTTATTGATTATATATAAAAAAAATAAAATTGATATTTGTCTTCAAGTTAGCCAATAACTGGGAGACAATATTTTAATCAAAATCAAAAGTCAATATGATATTTGTAATCATGTTACTACAGTAAACAATTATTGTCAGTTGTCAAATTGAAATATTCAAAAAAATATTTTAAGTTTATGCGTAAAACAAAAAAAATCGCAAAGCGGAGCGTTCCCTCTCAAAAAAAGTATATTCATCAATCAAGGCAGCTAGCATTCGATAATGTACGCACATAACGTATCACGTACGAGGTGATGAGGAAAGAACCAAAGAAAAACACTGTAAGATAAACATGGACTCTGACCAATTACCAGCTTCTCCTTACTAATTATTTTTATCAAATAAATTAAACACGCTCATTCCAAAACATCAGATCATATGTATAATTATCAACGATCGAGCAAAACCTGGTATATATGCATTTTAAGAATTTAAGCGACATAAAATCGTTCGATCCTCTTACGCAGTCTTCCCTTTAATATCGCTTTAATTCCAGATGATTGTTGTAGTTAAATAAAAGTTCATTGTCAAATTAACATTTTATGCAGCTCTGTAAATCATTTTCACAAAATGCACAAAATACCGCTTTCACCACTTTTTTTTTCTTTTCAGAAATTAATTCCACTTCTTTAAATTAGGAATTATAACTTTTAAAAAAAATTACCTAGTTATTACAATTTGGGGTAAGGACCCCCTTTTCCTGTTAGAATTAGGTAAATCTTCCAAAATATTCATGACAGCTTACTCGTTACAGAGATTACCAACAGCAAACCTTAACTTAAAGACATTCCCACAGCAGACTGAACAGTGATGTGTATTTAAACATAAAATGCCTATCAATTTAAAAACTCAAAATTCAGACATGTGGTTTTATATACCTAGGACCTTTTTCTCATCCAGTCTAGTTCAACCGAGTAATTTCTCGTCAATATATTTACAAATTAAAAGACGTTCATCTAAACTTTCATAATATTTAAATATTTGAGAAATACTTCTTTTAATGCCGATCACAAAAACGTCTGAATTAGTGGAGATAGATCTATACATTTCATTATCTAGCTATTGAATACTGATCAATTTCACAAAGTAAACACGTTTTCCTCTCCGATGATTTTAATTTCTTTAAGCTTTTTAAGACACCAATGAATATGAAATAATAAAATTCCCTTTTAGTAAAGAAGAAGTACATTTATTTGATAACCCAAAAAAGCGCCTTCCTGTAACTTCTTTTATTCTACATATATTGCCACTCAATACTTTTTGTAGGCTTAATGTAAAACATAAATTTTATTTACGTAAGATTCGATGTCACTCTTTTAAACTTTCAATTTTAAATCATAAATTTGCCCATAAAAGATGAAATCTTTAACGTACCTCGTTTCAATTATATCAAACGTACATGTATTTAATGCACTATACAATTGTGGTACTTATATAAGTTTTAAATGTCTCCAAATGCATCTGTGTAAAACATAAATCTTTCTATCACTTGACGTAAGATTTTCTGTTATCATTTTTATAAACAAAAATTCCTATTTTAAATATATGTAACTTCGGTCGTCAGCCGTTATAAATGTAAATTCTCTGAGGGAAAAAAGAATTTTGTATGTTGAGAAACTTTAAACTTGTCAATCTCCAAATCAAAAAAAAATGGATGAAATGTTATGTAATTGTTTGCTTAAGTTTTTATTAAAGATACAAAATACAATATTACACCTTTTAATTTAAATGCTATAAAATGCATTAAAATTTTTAAAACTACATATGCATTGATATTTGTTTTTTTTTTTTTTTTTTTTTGTTCGCACATCAATGATATACATGTAAGTATATTTAAGTTTTTAGTTTCGCCATATAAAGGAACATTTACATGTAGTTTCAAAAATTAAAACTCGCAAAAATATTTCAGATTTCCATTAACTACTTAATGGAAGGATAGCGAAATCATTAGCTTGTTCTTACAATGTAATACTTAATACTTCAATAAAATAACAAATATGGTCAAATCATACTCAGTAAAGGTTTACAGACGAAAACAAATTTCAGAATGTAGTAAAAGTGTAATAAACTTTACAAAAGTATATCAAGTCAGGTAAATTTTTTTAGGAAACGCAAAATAGTAAAATAAATTAGTGAAATCACATAAGCTGATTTTTAGTATTTCTGCATTTCCTCATAGAATTCACATGGCTATATTTTTGTAAAAATACTACATGTATTCTGAAATGTTTTCATCTGTCAAATTTTACTGAGTATGATTTGACCATATTTGTTATTTAATTGAAGTATTAACTAATATTTTTCTACATTAACCTTTTCTTTTTATTTTAGGAATTTTCTAAGCCTGTGAGATGATATGAAGTCTCCTCCCAAAAATGTTTTATCATCTGTCCTTATATACGTTTCGTGGTCTGCATGTTTATTTTTCAAACTCTTACAATTAATTTATTGTTAATTTACTAGGACTATAACAAGCAACGAATATCGCTGGAAAACAATTTTCAAAATCCTTGCTTTCCACAATACAGTGGTGTCATTGGCTGGTGTTACTTAATGATTCTTCAGTGTTATGACTTTTTAAAGATGTCATTTTTACCTTACCCGGATATTTTTTTTTAAAACCTTCATTTACTTTGGAATGTGAGTTAAGATATATTATGTTCAAAGGTGAAAATGGCAACCTTCCATCGACAAGACCTTATTACGCGTCACCAATTGTCAATTGTCAAAATAGTGACCTTGTCAGCAAATACAATTTATCATTGAGTCAAATGCTGACTGATGTTTTTCATACTAAAAGTTAGTCCATTATTTATACACTGAATTGACGACGGATTTTTCTGTTCTTTCCCGATCATGACAAGGAGCACACGGCGGGTGTGACCGGTCAGCAGGGGATGCTGACTCCTCCATGGCACTTGATCCCACCTCTGATTTTTCGGAGGTCCGTGTTTGCTCTGCTCCTATTTTGTATTGTTTTGTGAACTTTGATATTGAATACTGTTCGTTATCTCTATATCCTTCTCAAAAAGTCATAGTTAAAATTTAGGGATTCATTCTAAAAGATATTTTGAGGAAAATTCTAACGTTCTAATACTTAATTGAAAAAGCCAAAAGATTTTGCACATCCTCTGAACATCGACATCATTTCCCATTACCCTTTTTTGACCTAATTTTTATTTAACGTTTCCATGGTCGTTGCATTGCTGTTACACGTGATTTACCCAAGTATGGGAAATCGCAGCCTTTTGCTTCATACTGAATGCTTATTGAGAGTTGGAAAAGCGAGAAAGAAAATTAATTGAATGTATTTACTCAGGAAAAAAATATTCTTATAAATCTATCTTTTCTTTTATAATGTAAATATTTGAACAACTGTATAGAAAGAAGCAATAGAATCGCCTGTGAAATCAAGATCACGATCCTTCTCAACTGTTCAGAAGTAATATAATAACCCAAAATGTTCAACATTTCTCGACCCAAAATGTTCTACATTTCTCGGATTAAAGAAAATGAAATTACATTAAAATCATATTTACCAGAAAGAACTTTACGGTCTGAAAAAACTTTAAGATGTAAAGCTTTAAATTGTGTTCCGAGTTCGAGAAATAAAATATTTACTTTCCTGTATATTTTACATGCATTTTCTTTTTCATTTTCTGATGATTAAGCCTTGAGGTACTGTGGGCAGTGAATCCACTAAATGTTACCCGCCTCCCATATGATTATAATGACAAAGTCTATATTTTGCTCTAGGAGAACTCAAATAGGTGTCAGAACAAAAAGTGAAATAGGAGGTGCACAATGGCACTATGTAAAAAGGAATCTGTGAACGTTTTATCAAATTCCATTCAGAAGGGGGTGCGGAATAGAGATGGGTTACCAAAAGCGTAACAGACAAACGTACAGACAGACAGACATCCTGATTACTATATACCCTCCAAGTTTTCAAGCGGAGGCATAATAATGTAAAACCATTGTAAAATTATTGGCATACATGTCATGTAAATAGTAAAAATTGAATTTTTTTAATCGTAAAGCAGGGAAAATCTCAAAGGTGCTCATTTATATCAACAAAAACCGTCAAAATCGCTTGTTATGACATGCTGATTATTTGTCTATGCACTTTACCGTCAAAGAAAACACATCCCTTTATCAATACCAGGTTTGTGCTATCCAGTAAAACTACTGATTAGATGGGTTATGTTAACACACTAACATAGAGTATGAATGGCCTTTTCATCAATTGATCAATTTATACAAGAGGACGTCATCAAGGCTCTTTGAAACCTCAATTTATCTTTGGCAAATTTCATTAAAATCATGCTCTCTATATTTTTTAACAAACATGTATATGCTCATCAATTTTTGCAACATTTTGAAAACACAAGTGATTAATGTAGAATATATAGGGGAAGAAACATGAAATATGGGTGTTGATTGGTATGATTTGGGTTTAATGTACGATTAGCGCTCCATTCAGTAAAATTGTAGAGCTGCAGCTTTTGGCTTGTAAGGAATGGTGTGCAACGATTATATTAACCGCGTAAAATCAACCGTTTTTCAATGCTTGTATTTCTTGTTAAAATAAAGTTTTAAAATTTAAAAGCAAAGTAATGTGACGAATGAACTATCTAAATGATAACCCTGCCTCCGAAATTACTATAATGACAAAGTCCATGCATTCCTATGGGAAACCAAAAATAAGTGTCAGAACAAAAATGGAGGAGTTGCGGATAAGAGATGTATACTCGTCAATACTACAGAAAAAATGGCAGTCAGTGTCACTGTATTGCTAAGGGGAAAATCAAACTATGATACCGATATCGATCAAATAGTAAAATAGGAAGTGCACAAAGGCACAATATGTGAAAGTCTAATTAAATTTCATTCAGTGGTATAATAGGAGTTACGAAGAAGAAATGGGTTACCCATGCAAAGTGTAACAGACCTATGTGCAGACGTACAGACAGACAAAAGAACGGACACCCAGATAACTATATACATGTACCCTACCACTTTTCAAGCAGGGATATAATAAAATGAAAGAAAATCAAGGCGGTAATATGAAACCATTTTGTAAAACTACTTTGCATCTAATCTCTTAAAGCATCCTCGATCTTGTAATAAAAAAACATTACCAAGCCATACATAATTTATATAATTTATTAAGAAAATTTCAACATAAGGCAACATATTAGCCCCACAAGGGGATTTTCCTCAAAACTGCAAACTCATTTCAATTGTAAGGAAGCTCGTTTAGTAAGTTGTTGTCGGTATTCAATATTTACTCAGACAGAAAAAAAGATCATTTAAATATTCTGTGTTTCTTAATAGGTGTCCTGTTAGATTATATGTGTCTATGGGCTGTCATTTATTTAAAAAGCAGCAAATCATGTTAATTATATTACTTTAAAAAGACACGACAAAGTAGAATTAATGTCATCACAATCAGTATTTAAACGGCATCAAAAATGCTTTTCACTCTTTCAGCCTTAATACCATTCAATATAATTTTTTTTAATTTCAGCATTCGATGAACAGTTAAAGCTCCCCTCATACATGTAAACACATATATACACATCTAAAGTGGTTAAAATGCACATTTTTTATGCCAAGATTTACAAAAAGGGCGAAACTTTATTCGCAACTGGAAATAGTTTAACAGAATTTTGAGAATTGTAATTTATTTACAACGTTTACTCAGTACATCCTTTCCCATGCACATTTGCTTCAATCAATATGAAATCTTTTAAAGTACAGATTCTTAAGTTCATCTTTTTGGCCGGGGGGAGGGGAGTGGGGATTCA